GGCCCGGCCGGGCCGGCCACGCCGAGCTGCCGCGAACCGCACGGCCGCCGCGGGAGGCACCGCCGGGCACCCGGAGGCCGGAGATCAGCGCACCGGCGCCCGGCTTCTCCCTCCCCGCTCAGGGGGAGCCGGGGAGACATCTTCCAACACCAAAACGCCGGGCTCCGTCCCGCACATCTCCCGGCGGGCAACTCGCTCCTGCCGAGGGGCAAAACCGGCCGGCCCCACCGGCACACGGCTGCGGGCAGAGCCTCCGCTGCGGAGAGGGCCCGTCAGCCCCTGCCGAACGCGTCCCTCCTGCATCCCCCGCCCGGCTGCGTCCCTGCTCGGGCGCTTCCCACGGCGCGGGTTACCTCCTGAATCCCTCCGACACTTGCGAGATGCGCGTTTTCAGACAAGAGTGGCAGCTACCTCATTCTCAAAGCGCAGGGCTGAAAGGCGTTTCGTTGATTCTCTCAAACTAGAAATTCCTGTCGTAACTCGCTAAGACCTTCTTTTGCCGATAGCTTTCCCTCCCCTGCCCAGTATTTCACATTCTTTCTCGCATATTTTCACGAAGACGCGCCGGCAGCCGGGTTGGGGAATGGGAAGAACAGCTTTCGGGCAGCAGGGTACCATCGTTACCCGCTGGGGACCGGCCCTGCCCCGTCGCTCCGCCAGCCCCAGCGCTCCCACAGGCAGCAGACCATTAGTTTACACAGTTCTTATCTCATGGCCGTTTGGTTTCAAACCCAAACTCAGTTACCAAGTCGTAACTCCACCCACCTGAATTTAGTCCAAATGCTTCAGACGTTTTCCTGAGTGAATCAACATGTCTCTTTATTGGCAAGCAAGGAGATTTATCGCATTTATCATCACTTGTAAAAGTCAAGTGTCTTAGAACAGAATACCAAGAAGAATTCAGCTAATGAGAAGTATTTCTGAAGTGAGAAGGGGGAAGCCTCGTGAGATGCAGGGTATGCAAAGAATATTACACTTCAAATACATTATGTATGCATCCTATTCAGGTATGCAGCTCAGTTCTGTTCAAAATTAGTGGCAAAATTCCCCATCGATATCGGTGGAATAAGATCAGTTCCAGAGTTTTATATCTTTTCCCGCAGCGGGCAGGAATTCCCCCCAGAGCTGCGACTGCCCCCCACTGAGGATTCCAGCGAAGGAGCGCTGCGAGCCATTTGCCGTGTAGGCAGGAAAGCTGGGGTGGCGGAGCGCCGGGGCCTGCAGCGGGTGACGCAGAGGCCGGGGAGAGCAGGGGGACAGACTGCCGGCCGGGCCGCAGGGCTGGCACGGGGCTGCCCGCTGGGTCCCCCTGCGAGGGCCAGCAGTGCGGGGCAGCCCTCGCTGCCTCC